TCACTATCTTTTGGTTTTACACTATTTATTTGAGTGTTCTAGACGTGGTGTCTCATATGGAAAGTTTTGGGATTCAAGAGCCAAACGGTACAGCAAATATCAGATTGACATGTAAGCTATTTATCAGATATGTTAAGCAGTTTAAAAAGGGATTATTCAAGTCCTACAAGTTTGATTTTTTTTTTTTTGTAAAGTATTGACCTGTTAATCTAGATTTCAGTATGTTTTTGCCTGCACTTTCCCAGTCTTTAGAACAAGAGCTGTGCTATTTCTTAAGAGCGGTGTTTGGAATTGGTTGTTAGTTTCTGACTAAAGCAGTACTAACATCTGGTGGAGGGAGTGTTTTTACACTGGAAATGGCTAACTTGAACTTTGCAGTTAACTGTCATAACCTCTTCCATCAGGACTGGTTGTTTTGTGGAGCTCTCTCTGGCTTATTGTGAGACCGTGCAAGTTCCTTCCAGCTTTTCTCTTAAATCACATCCACTGTTACTCTTCTGGCTCTTGTTTCAAACATTTGGTTCTTTCCAGTTGCATGAACAGTGTTTGTGCTGTTAGCACCTGAGGAAAAACACCCAGCCACGAGGAAATATAAAGCAGGACTGAAGATGTGCTGAGCCTAGGCTCTGGCTGTTCTTTATTAAAGATAACTGCTGTTGATTTACTCTTTTGGGGTTGGCAACTTCCATACTGAAAACCATTGGTCTAAATCTTACTGTGTCCATTGCAACTTACAACTGCTTTTGTAAAATGAAGGCTTTTTTGAAGCTCGAAGGGAAACTACCTAATTCAAATACTTGTTTACAGTGTGGTTGTATAGCTGTAAAGAGGGATTCTGCACCTCCAAATTGCTGTAAAAACTTCCCACTGGGTGGAATTTGACTGGTGAATGTTCCAGTATTCAGAGTAGTTCCTGGGTTTTATTATACAAACGAAGTACACACTTAAGCTTTAGCTTGGTTATGAAATACAGTGTATATCTTAATTTTGATCTGAATTTGATATGTTGCAAAAATCCATATAATTATATGGATCTATTTTAAAACGTCTTTTTCTCCACTGTATATGTGAAGTTTGAATAAAGGAATGAAAGTTATTTTACAGTTACATGCATTCTCAAGTGTGAGCTTTCCTGGAGTCCCAGAGAAATTGAGAGTGAATAAGGCAATAAGATGCTGTCCTTTGAAAGATTTTTACAGGAATGATTCATCAGACTGGACGCATTGCCAAAGATACCTGTGAATTATGCTGTGTTTTGTAGGGTGCCTTTCCCAACTATCTCCTCTCCTTAGTAGGGTGGTCAGTTTTGGGTTAGTTAATCTTCTAAGGTCCTGAATTGAGATTAATAGGGTCTTTTCACAAGAAAGAACTGAACTCTTGATTCTGGCCAGTGTGGTGATGCTAGTTTTTCAACATGCTGAGTGCTATTACTTCTTGTATTAAATGTGGTCACTTCCATGGAGTAAACAGTGGCAAAGGGTAAGCATTTAGATACTTCGACTCATCAAGTCACGTACTGTAGCTTTCAATTTGGCTCCTAAGAATAGGATTTCAAAACTTTATGTTTGTACCTTTTATAAACCAGCTTGCAGTGTTCAGAGTGTTGGCCTTTGTGCACTGAGCTGTATTTCAGACTGAGCAGCTGCTGGCCTGGCCTGCCCCAGCTGGGCACTGAAATCCTGCTGAGAGCATGGCAGTGCTCGGCAAAGCTGTGTCGCTGTCAGCCTGAGCATGGACGAGGTGAGCAGTTGTGCTTTGTGCTAAGTACCCATGGGTACTTCATACCTGCAGTTAAGGTAGAATCCAGCAGCAGCAGCTCTTACCCGAGCTAATGTCCCGCCCTCCTTAACTCCCCGCTTTCTTGTGTCCAAGGCCATTTGGTGCTCAGCAGGGCTCCTTTGTATTTTACAAGGTCTAGAAAGCATTTTGTTTAACAAACAAACTTCGCTAACTTCTAATAAAGACCTTTCCTGTAATAGCTTCCAAAATCCTAGATGAAATGAGTATGCAGCTTTGAGGGAGGTACACAAATGCATGAAGACAGTTTTAAATTAACCACATAATGTATACTAGGTCCCTTCATCACTCGGGTGATTTTGAGCTGCTTGGGTGATCTCCCTTTTTCTGTGCCACCAAGCACCTAAATTCCAAGTTTGATGCTATTTTGAAACTTGATTTAGTTCGGGGCTTTTTTAAAGGCTTTGTTCTCTGCATTTTCCTCAGTGCTCGCAGAAATTCTGTTCACAGTGCTTCTCTGTCTTCCTCAGCAGAAGTGCAAGCCAATGTCCCTACCACTGCTTCTAAGTGAAAGGCTGGTTTACTTTTTTTACACCTTGATGCATTTTAAAAGCTAAGTCATGCAAGTTTTACATTGCAGTAGCTCCAGATGTTCCATACAGCTTTTTTTACAAAGGGATATTGGATTTCCCTCTGCTTGAGAAATATCAAGAGTTCCCTGCTGAATGGGGACAGGAGAAGAAATGTGCTTTCTCTTTTTACATTTGATGAGGACTTAGCTAGCTTGCATATGGTAAATACTCATGCACAATACAGAGTGGTGTAAAGAGGAAACAAACACAGTACTTATGTGGACAGTGATCTCCACAGTACCATAATTGTGAATCTTCTTGCAAAGGTTTAAGTCCTCAAGCTGCATCCTGTTTAGAGAAGGCATTTTCAATATGCTTCCAGTAGGAAGATCACTTACAAATAAGAGCCTTAACTCATGTGTATAGATTTTTTTTTTTTCTGTCTATAGCTTCTTTCCCACCAACTTGTACAATTCATGGAAACTGCAGATACTTTTTCCACAGCTAACTCTCTCATGTGAAATTTGTATATCTTACAAGAACTCTTTGTTTCTGTAACATGCTTTTTTGTGGTATTATGATGCCACCTCACAAATGTAATTATTGTTTGAAACCGGTGTTAAGTGTCACAACGTAAATAAAACCATTGTTTTCATTACTACCTTATGACACTAATACTAATCTAATGTTTGGCTTCTTGGAGCTCTTCAGAAGAAACTGGCAGCTAAAATTTGCAGGTGTGTTCATAGATAAATTCTTAAACCAATATTGTAATTTCCTCATGACTCTCATTTATTGTAACTTTGATGCAAATTGGTTTGTTCACACAGATTTGCTGGCTTGCCTAGCAAATCTGAGGCCTAGATCTACCCTACCTGAGGTAGATCTGGTAACCTAAGTCAGGAATTTAAGACAGCAGTACCTCAGAAAAGGCTGCATTTTTCAAGGTGTTTTTGTATGTTGTAGGATTTAAGCACAACTGATCTGTCTCTTCATGGTCAACACTGAGTCATCACCCACTAGCATGGAGTAATGGCAAATGACTAACAGCAGCTACTTCTTAGGAAGTAAAACTTCCTCAAAACAGAGCTGGGCTCTTTTCAGTCGCATACTTCAGTTGAAAAGTGGATTTCACAACATAAATGGAGCTTCAATGACACAAATATTAACATGCTGCTTTTCCTGAGTGGGTGTGACTTGAATGCCTAATCAAAATAGTGGTAGTTTGGCTAGTTTTGGTGAGGGACAGGTCACAAAAATATACAGTTACATCCATGTAACTTGTAGTTTGGTTCTGACGTTTCACGAGTCTTGTAAGAAAAAAACTGACATTCTAAATTACAACTGAACCAAGTGTCCCTCAGTAAAGGTACAGCAGGCATCCAGCTTCTTGGAAAGAAGTTATGTTCCCCTCCTTCCACGTTGACTGTTTCTCATTGTAGCATTGAAAAGAAGTGGGGGTGAGAGAATGGGAAAAATATGAAAAACCAAAAGAGCTAAAACAAGAGGTGAAACTTAGTGGAGATGCTGGCGTGAGGGAGGGTGTGAAAGCTGCAGGGGATTTGTGGGCTCGCTGGAAGCAGGTATGGCAGCTCGTCAGACTCTGGGAGGAGGCAAGAGTGAACATCATCTACTTCGGTCAGCTTCTCAGCACCGTCCCTGTGACCGCTTCATCTTTGACAAGTTTAACTTGGATAGCAACTTTTGCTTCTCTGTTGCTCCTTTTGAAGAGGAGTGGGGATGGCTGGTGCTCCTGTCTGTCCGTTTTACATCTGGGAACATTAAGCAGCACCTAACTGGTTAGAGATCTTTTCCTCTCTTCTCTTAAACGATCAGAAGTCTACAATGTTCTGCTGTCCTTCACTGCAACCTGGAGACTGCAACGTGGTCCTGTTCACTCTGTATCACTCCACTTCAAAATATGATCCGCTCTAGCTCAGAGTATTCTCGGACAAAGGTTCCGTAAGAAACCCAAGCATGCACGCTTGATAGTCCTTGACAGGAAAACCTGCGGTTTGCGTTTCTCCTTCAGAGACTCCTTTGAGTCTCCCCCCCCCAGTTATTTCCTCAGTCTAAAAGTGACTCACGCTGAAGAGCGGACTGAGCGGCAGCGCTCCTGCCGCTGCCGGCACCCCCGGCAGGGCCGTGCGCGGCGCGCCGGGGCCGGGGGCGGGCCCGGCTGACCGAGGCCGCTCTCCACCCGGTACAGCAGCTCCGGGGCCCGCCCGGGACTTCCCGCACGTCTCACCCCCGAGGGAGCGATCACCCCGTTTAATGAAGAGCTGTAATTAAAAAAAGCAAACAAGCAGGTCCCGACAACCGGCGGCACACGGCCCGCCCCGCCGCAGGCAGCGTCAGGCGGCGAACGCCGGGCCGGGCTGTGGCGGGGCATCCGCGGCCATGGAGCTGCCGCTTGGCGCGGCCGCCTGCCCATTGGCGGCCCTGGCTGTCGCTCCGAGCACGCCGGGGCGGGAGCAATCGCTGCGCTGCCGGCGGTTGGCTGCATCTTCCGAGCGGCCACGCTCATTGGGCGCTGTGCCTACTGAGCCCGCCCCTCTGGCGTTGTGATTGGTCGGGGCGCCCCCCGCTCTCGCGGGCGGTCGCTGCTGGCTGCCCGGGCCGTCAGTCGCGCCCGGGCGGGGCGGGCACAGGGCGCTGCGGCCGCCGCCCCTGCCCCGAGCACCGCCTCCGCCCCGCCCCGGCCCGCCCCGCCCCGTCCGCCGGCCCCGGCCCGGTCTCGCCTCGCCACCACCGCCAGCAGCCGCAGCAGCGGAGGCAGCGGCGCGCCCCGCCACCATGAAGGTGACCGTGGACTTCGAGGAGTGCCTGAAGGACTCGCCGCGCTTCAGGTGCCGCCGAGAAGGGGCCGGGCCGGGGTCGTGCCGGGGGACAGGAAGCGGGGCCGGGTGTGTGCGGGGCGGGCCGGGCTGTGGGGCGCTGGGGCTGACAGGTGCTGGCGAGCTGTGGGCAGCCGGCCTGGAGCGGAGGGGCGGGAGGAGCTGTGTGGGTCCTGCCGGGGTGTGGGGGCTCTGAGGGGAAGGGAGGGCAGCGGGTGCGGTACGTGGGGCTGGGCGGGTGCGGGCTCCGGGCTCGGGCGGGGGCAGCGCTGGGCTCTGAGCGCCGCGGGGGTCACGCCTTGCAGGAGATGGGGGTGAGCGGTGGCGGCGGCTGGTGCAGGGAGTGCTTGCCAGCCGAGGCAATGTCAGCTGAGACTCAGGCTCGGGAGGGTGAACTCTTTGGTGGTCTGTCTTCCGTTCTTCAGAGTTGTGCTCACATTTCAGTTCCCAGTGTCTCCTGCCTACGTCTGTTCTGTGTCCGTATTCGGTGTGCCCACTGTTGGGGTGCCAGTAGCAAACAAGCTCTCAGTATCGTCTTACTTCCTGTTGTCAGAGCAAGGCACGCACTCCTTTGTTTTTCCCCACTCGAGTGACCGGTTGTCTATCATTGCTGTAGGGTTATTTCTGCTTATGTCAGGCAACATTCCCCTGTCTTTCCTTACGTTTTTACCCATTCTATATATGTATTTTACACCGTTGTATCTAATCAACGTAATTGTGTCTCTCTGTGGGATGTGTGGCTGGTCTGTGCCTACATTCACGCATTTTCCGTGCCTGCCATTACCCTGCTAGACGGTGGAGATGCAAACATCTCCGTGATGTGATGTGGCACTGCTGTGCCCCTCCTGTCCCATGCCGAGCTCATATCTCAAGTGCCTGTAGCTCTGTGGTGAGCTCTTGATGTTGAGGAAAATAGTACTGCTCTTTCTCTGCTCTCTGGCTGTATGCTCACGCCTCCTCTTTGTATCAGCTTTAGCAATCCTGTGGTATCTGGGATGTAGAGGAAGTTGGAGAAGGAAGGTTGGTTGAATGGCTTACCCTTGGCAGAAGTTGGAGTTCCTGTTCTTCCCTCCTTTGCTTCTGCCTCTGCTGCTAGTTTGTCACTGGCTGCTTCTCCCACGTTTTTTTTGGTGACTGTGACGTGTGTTGTTGGATCCTTTAGTGGCTGGGTGCCCTGGCGGAAGAGACTGGATGGTTCTCTGCCATCCAGGTTAGTGAGTTCTGTCAGCATCTCAGTGGGTGTGAAACCTAAAGCTTATGGGGAGTAGAGAGAAGAAACTTCACTGCCAGAAGCAAAGCTAGGGGAAGGCAGTGGAGAGCAAGACCTCCCTCAGGGCAGCAGGCAACTTTTACATTGGCTTAGCTCTTTCACAAAACTTTGTCCTGAGCTGGACATGCTTGCTAGTGTATATACATTCTGAGACAACTGAATTTAGTGTTGGTTCATCCCATTTGGTGACAATGCAGTTGTAGATTGGCATAATTTAACCATAAAACTGTACCAGTAGTTGCATTATTTTAATTACTCATACCTGCTAAAGTACTAAAGACACTCGACCAAACAAGAAGTTGTGACTAAAATTTGTGAGCAGAAGTGTGCTGCTGTTTTTCCAAGGTAAGTCATACTAGTTCATTTGAATTCACTTTGTATCATCTCCTTTTGCCTCTCTTGATTCCTTTCCTTCAAGGAAAAAAAACTGGAGAAAACACTTTGTTAGGGTCTTCTAGTAAGTCATGGTCTTTTTCCCAGTCTGATACTACTATCTTTGAATGAATTGCAGAAAACCTTATGGCATAATCACTTGATGCCAGTAAAACATCCTTATAACCTTTAACTGTTAGGAAATGGTTAAAATTGCAAGGCAGAATTCCTGTAGTATTTCTGAAAAGGTTCATATCTTTCATTATTAGTCATCAATACTTGTTATAATTTTGGTTATTCTTAATGTTCATATAAATATCCAACCCAAACAGTGGAAACCTTCTGAATGAAGGTTACTGCAGTGGTTTTACTGAGGGATGGTAGAGACACTGATGTAGAGCAAGGTCTTGACAAAGTCCTATGTTCTTGCAGGGGGGAGTGTGGACATAAAGCAGCTTCTTGCTCTGTGTTCCTTGTAGCAAAGCTGAGCTGCAGCTTTCTCCTGACCTGGCTGAGCAGGAGGGTGTAGCCTCTGTCCTTCCTGTCAGTATACCTGTCAGAGCTCTTAAATACAACTATTGGGAGGTATGTAATGAATAGAAATGTCACAGGCTACTTTCTTATGGTTGTGGTGATAACTGGGAGGACATGGGTGAATCAGAGTTCTTGAGTCACTGAATCCCTGTTTTCATGGAGAGCTATTTAAATCTTTTAAAACACACTACTACAGGCAGCTTCAGCTACGTGGCTTTCATTCTTGCTTATCTGTTTCTCATGAAGTTCATATTGATATTTCTTGGTTTTGAGATTTAATTGGGCCCCAAATCACAGCACCTAAGATCTGTTTCCTTGCTTAAAGTGCTTGTGAAAGGATGGTGGATTGCAGCTGTTGAGGTGCTGATATGTGATTAGATAATGATGACTATAAAGGTTCACATCAGAAGTATGATGAGTTATTTCATAGCAAGGCATACTGGGGTTTTTTTTTTTCACCCTCTAGTAGATGATAAAGAAGTCTCTGAATTAAAAAACCTGAAGCAATAATGGCTTATTGCATCACTAGATTTGTAAATTTACAACATGCCAAATCAGTTTGTAGTTGGAGATTTGATCTTTAGAAACTGATTTTTAAGGTAGTGGGAAAGGCTGTGAGTTCAGGCACACTTTTGCAAATGTGTAGTCATGTGTTTTTCCTAAACTTGCTTTGAAAATATATTTGCTGAAATCACATGCTTTTCTGTCATGATCCCCTCTCCTAAAACATGGCCAAAGCAAGGTTCTAGCAAGGAAATGCATTTGCAGTTTGTGTCAATGACTTCCCATCAAATGAAGAAGTTAGCTGAGGGAGGGGCCTTGGAGCAGCCCTTGAACAGTAAGAACTGAGCTGTGCTGGCAAGTTCTGTGTACATAATCACACATTCCTGCAGTAGTTTTTAAATATGCAAATAGCATTGTGAAATAATTCTTTCTCCTTTAAGCAATGAGAGTTTAATGGAACAGGCTTCTTCATTGCTGTTTCATTTTCAGTTTTTCTTCTTCTACCTATGGAATGTTTTTTCTCAATGAGATATCACTGTAGCAACCACATGAATCATTGGAACTAAATTACTAGAAAGGAGAAGCAATTTTAGGTCACGTGGAAATACAGCTGCTCTAAGTAGCAGTTAACAATTTTGATAAACAACAAATAATAGAAAAAGCAAAATTCAATTGCTTGTAATCTGCGCAATTGTAGAACTCTCTTCCAGAACATTCAGGCTGATCCAGTCTGTAAAAATCCTTTAATAAAAGGCTGTGTTTTTGAGATAATTTCTTTGTCCTTATCTGTCACTGTTGCCTAAGTTTAAATTTTTTTGCATTTAAATTTCTATTCATTTCCTGAGACCCCAGCTGCAGAACAGATGATGGGTGAATGAGGTAGATCAAAACATAAATGAAACTGTTGTCAATTACCATTCTTAGTTAAAGTATTTTTGGGTAGTTTCTGGGTATAACTGTGGTTATAGTGTATTCCCTTCAAAAGGACTCATGTGAGGAGTCTTCCATTTCGCCTGAGCTAAAGCACTGCTCTGGTGGCAGGCCTGTGTGTGAGGCTGGCTTGTCACCCGAGTTCCCTGCTATGTGCTGCTTGGCTTCTCCTGTGGTTTTGGCCCTGCTCTGTGTGGGGCCAGCTGAGGTGTTCCTCGTGGTGTACCTGGGGATGCAGGTTGAACAGGTCACTTGTGCCGCTTTCTGGCTTTCTAGATTTATGATGGTTTTCTTTCTTTCTTCTTTTTTCACTGTTTCACCAAAATCTGTTTCCCAAATAATAGTAAATGTTTTGTCACTTAAACTATGAGTAATATAAGAAAGTGATTTATTTAACCTATTTGGAGTATGTTGTGTTCAGTAGTCAGAGAAATTATCAAAGGTGCCTAAGCCATATGCTTTGGGCTGCTTGTGACCTTCTGTAGAAAATGTAGAAATAGGAACATGGGAAGAGTTGTCCCTTCAGTGCTGAGTTCCAGTGGGAAGGGTGCTGGAGGGCAGCTGCTTCCTAACCTCTGCGAGTGGCAGCAGACCCTCGTGTTCAGCCTGGGTTTATAGCTCAGCCCAACTGCGTGGATGTGGCTCCACTGAAATCACTGAGGCTGCTCCTGGGGCTGAACTCAGCCACATGGCCAGTGTGAAGAGGAATGAGACCAAGAACTCTGCATACAAAATCTGTTTTGCTCAGATTTACCTAGCTGTTTTAGAACAAATTTCCAAAGAAATGTTTGGTCTGGGCTTTCTGCCCTTGGTGTTTGGGACTGAAAAGCAAGTTTGTAGCATATTTGGCAAGGGAGGATGGAAAGAATTGCAGAAGAATAGGAAAAAAGATACAATAAGTCAAAAGAAAAAGCTGCCAAGCATTTCCTTGTGAGTTTGCATTTCGCATATTTCATACTTATGTGGTTGTTAACGTTTATAATTTCCTGTATGAGACTCTAGAAGTGCACTTCTTGTAGCTGAAGTGACGTGGAGGACAGTCTTGGTGGGGTGTCAGTAAGTTACACGTGTACAACATCCCTGTCCATGCTGTTGAGAGTCTGGTGGAGTTAAATTCAGTTAAACTGATTCTAGGTTTCTAATTCTGCACTTTTGTGGAGATTGCAGTGACTGTCCTGTTCTACTCAGACTGTAGTCAATGGATTTATTTTTAAATCTGTAACTATGCCTTTCAAATGTACATTAAGAAAATGATTGACTTAAAGAAAGGGGGATGTATTTGAGCATAGTGTGCAATGTTAGAGCATTTTTTTTGAGGGAAATCATTCAAGAATGAAAAAGGTTCATTAAAGATCACTCTCAAATACATCTCTGAAAAATCTCTCACACTGAAATATCTGAA